ACATTGCTCGCCGATTCAGGTGCGGACTTATTGACACTAAAACGCCACGGAGGATGGCGGTCAAGCAATGTAGCCGAAGGATACATAGAAGACTCGATAAGAAATAAAGAAGAAATTAGCTCTCGCATTACAAGGAACATAAATTTGGAGTCAAGTGTTGACTTTCAACCATCTACGTGCACACACGCGTACATTCCACCATCGTCGCCGCAGCCGCAACCGCCTCCGCCGCCGCCACCGCCACCGACTGCAGAACTCTGTGGTCTCGTTTCTCCTACTTTCACTCAAGAGAGTGAGAGAGAGACTGGGGAGATTGTAACTAATAATAATAACTTGACAACATTAAAAACGCCAACTGGCAACATAACAATCACTTTTAAAAATTGTTCAAATTTCTATACAGTCAATTCAAAGTCAAAACTTTGAACATTTTTTGCGTTTTTCTAATAATTTCAAATTTAATTATGTTTCCTTAACAATTACTTTATTAACTGAATAGTGTTCTTTTAAGCCCTTTTTTCGTTCTAATAGAAGGAATTTAGTAATTATTCAACAAAACTGTTCTAGATTTGCTCCAAAAGTCACATTCAAAGTTGCCTTGAATTTTGGGTAACTTTGAATAAGATTAGCCTTCGATATGGAAACCGTATATTTTCTAGATATTTTACAGTTTGTGTAAGATTATACGACATATTCATGTTTTTTAGATGTGAATCTGTCCAAATATTCCTGACAGTGCGTTCAAAAACGACATTTGACTTGGTATTGCCATAATAAAACGAGACGAACTAATTTAGTTGAAATGAAAAACTTGTTTTTTTTTAGATTTTTTAATTAATGCGAATAAAAATGAAAATTTTCTGTTTAATTAATAATAAATTCTACGCTTATTTAGCTATCAAACGAGATCAAAATGAATCACCTATAACAATTATTTTAGGCAAAGTAAATACATAACAAAAATCTATTCACCCCACTCCTTGCATAAAATGTCGTCATCAATATAAATACGGCCGCCTTTTCTAGATAGCTGTTGCTCTTTTATAATATTCACAATATCGGCTTTATTAACTTGACATGTCTCAACGTTAGAGGGCCAAGACCAACCCCCTAAAAAGCATTTTTGGAGCACTGAGACAGTAATTTTCAAAGGAGTAACTTAGAACTCTCCCTGGAAACAGACTACCCTCTTCTCTAAAAACACAGTCAAACACATTCAAAGTTACCCAAATTTATCTGTTTGGTAACGTCGTCAAAATCTAATTCGTTTTACGCGTAAATACAAAACCAAATTAAATTATTCTTCAAAAAAAGCGATATAAAAACCTCTACTTAAGTGTGGAAACCGAAACTTACCAGTCAATATTCAGATTTATATATTTAATTCCGATTCTAAAACTGAGCAACAAATCACACCAAACTACTTTCGCCAAGAAAAAACCGCGAAAGTTTAAAAAAATACAATTTAACATTACTTTTTTCTTTCATAACTTTCGTTTAACAATTTTGTTCCGATTTACACAGTTTCAATACTAAAAATAAAAGATCGCCATACATAAAATAAATTTTTAAATCTTTTACGCAACTACGTTAACCACCACGATTCAAAGTTACCCGAATTGACTGTAACTACTTTAACAAGTAATTAAAGATTTATTCGTTTAAGAAAGTCAGAGTCTTATTTATTTCCTCGCAAATATGTTATAAAACGTCATATGACATAAAATACTATATACATGCGCTTTGAAAATTACACACTTACCGCACTTATATCATAATGTAATATTACCACACAATACGGCATCATTGACAAGCGCGCTGTTAGTCGAACAAACGAAGACTAAAGCGTGATTGACGCTCGGTATACGATTTTAACGCCCTGTAACTTCGGACACTTTTTAGCGCGGACCCGACGTCCGCGCGTGTAATTTGCCATGCCCTTACAGGGCGTCACATGATCCTATACAATGACATAACACCTTAAATTGTATTTAAAAATGTACTGTAACTGTGACATGCAAATAAATGATTTGATTTGATTTGTCCATTTATATCTGTAAGGGATCTTTTTGCGTGAAAAATAAAAAGGTCTTTTCCAAAAAGACTGCAACACGCGCAGCAGTAATGCCGCAGTAAGTAGGTACTTACATTCTATGAGAGTTTGTTTAGTCTGTAACCGCTGCATCACTGGGCAGTCAATCCTTCCATCAATTGTCTTATGGAGGCAATTGGGGCTGACACGTATTCTGTTCAGTAGCAACGCCGACTTTTACGGATGACAGCCCCAACAGCGTCCTAAATGCATTGTTGTGTTGCACGCGCAGAGCATCCGGTGAGCGCTGAGTGTAGCTAGTCCACAGCGCGGCAGCGTACCGTAGTGTGCGGACTCTAAAGAACGTGTTCACTGCAGCAGTGGGTATATCCGTCGAACCATAAAGTTAAAGAATCTACCATTATTATATTTACATAAATCTAGCAACTTATCCATAGCCAATGTGTGTTCCTTAATTTCCTGTTGAGCTGTTTCACATCTTTGAGTAATATGAATTTGTTAACCTGACTGATCTAATTCTGACTGAAGACGCTGTGCATCACATTCATAACGTTGCCTGTTTTTTCAAAGTTTAAAGTACAGTCACTCAATCCATGCAACAAGTTCTGACGTTCTTTCTTAAAGTTATACTTTCACAAAATGCTGCATTTTTCTTTATTAATAATAATAATGAAAGTAAGATTTGTTCATTTACCAGGTTTACCAGATTTACCAGGTTACTCAGGGCCACCAGTTATAATGATAATTATAATTTCTCGTAAAAATCAGTATCGCAACTGATACCGGAACAATGGCAAGAATTGTGGAACTGGTTCCTGAATATACAAAATACAGTGATTCAAGCTCCGGCAACAGGGAGGCGTGTGTGTGTGTGTGTGTGTGTGTGTGTGTGTGTGTGTGTGTGTGTG